TCGTCCTCAGTTGCCAGCCCTTTCCACGAGCTCCTCCGTACCTCTGCACGTTACTTCTGCACCTCCTCTGAGGCTCAGTGTGCTTTTCTCTCTCTTCCTAGTTGTAGAATTTCCACTCAGCCAGCCTTCCTGTGGTTCTGGATGATGTCTGTTTTGTCTTTTAGTTGTATTTTTGAAGTGTTTGTTTGAGGCAGCAATTTCTGGTGTTTACCTATGCTGCCATCTTGGTTTCTCCTGGATTTGCTAATATTTTGTTGAGTATTTTAGCATCTATGTTCAGGTATACTGGCCTGTAATTGTCTTTCTTTGTAGTGTCTTTATCTGGTTTTGGAATTAGAGTAATACTGGCCTCATAAAAAGAGCTTGGAATATTCCTTCCTCTTGGATGTTGTGGAATAGTTTGAGGAGTAGAGGTGTCAGTTCTTCTTTGAGTGTTTGGTAAAACTCCCCTGTGAAGCCATCCAGACCAGGCTTTTGTTTATGAGGAATTTTTTATTACTGCTTCTATTTCCTCAGTTATTGGCCTGTTCAGGTTTCTGATTCTTCCTGTTTCAATTTTGGGAGATTGTATTTTTCTAGGAATTTGTCCATTTCATCCACATTGTCCCGCTTGTTGGCATATAGTTGTTGATAGTATTTTCTTACAGTCCTTTATTTTTGTACCACAGCTTTTTAATCCACTCATCTATTGATGGGCACTTAGGCTGCTTCCATATCTTGGCTATTGTAAACAACACTGAAATGAACATAGGGTAAATATAGTCTTTCAAATCAGTGTTTCAGACTTATTAAGGTTTAGTCCCAGAAATGAAATTGCTGTGTCACAATGCAGCTCCATTTTTTAATATTTTTGAGGAATCTCCATACTGTTTTCCATAGTGGCTCTATCAATCTGCATTCCCACCAACAGTGCACCTGGGTTCCCTTCCTGCACATCCTGGCCAACTTATTTGTTGATTAATAATAGCTATTCTGACAGGTATGAGGTGATATCTCATTGTGGTTGTAATTTTCATTTCTCTGATGATTAGTGACTTTGAGCATATTTTCATCTGTTTATTGGTCATCTGTATGTCCTCTTTGGAGAAATTTCTATTCAGGTCCTTTGCTCACTTAAAAAAAATATTTTTATTGATGTCAGAGAAGAAGGGAGAGGGATAGAGAGATAGAAACATCAGTGATGAGAGAAAATCATTGATTGGCTGCCTTCTGCGTGCCCCACACTAGGGATCGAGCCTGCAACCGGGCATGTGCCCTGACGGGGAATCGAACCATGTTCTGGTTCATAGGTCCTCACTCAATCACTGAACCATGCTGCTAGGCCTGTGCCCATTTTTTAATTGGATTATTTGTTATTTTGGTGTTGAGTTTTATATGGTATTTATTAATTTTTGATAGTAACCCTTTATCCAGTGTATCATAGACTAATAAATTCTCCCATTCAGTGGGTTGTCTTTTCATATTGTTGATTGTTTTCTTAATATTTTTTCTGACATATCTCCTCAAGCAAGGGAAACAAAAGAAGAAATAAACAAATGGGACTACATCAAACTTTTGCCTCTTTGTATCTTTTGGTAGTTGCTGGCCATTCTTGGAAGCACACTTTAATTGGTTGAGGCAATTAAAACCAGAACAATCTGGCCTCCAGCCCCCCAAGGCTATATCCTTACCATGTGCAGAATACCTTCACTTCATCTTAACTTCTCCAGGAAACTTGAGCAGTTCCATCACCAACTGAGTTTAAAATCTCCTCAAAATATTATCAACTCAGGATGTCCCAAATCTCATCTCCTAATTCACCTAAATCAGATAAGTGTGAACCTGAGTATGGTCTATCTTGGAAGACCATACTCAGGTTATTATTTAGCATATTTTATACTTTTTTGAAATTGTTATTAGTTTAGTTTTTTATAATGTAATGCTTTTTCTAATTATAAAGAAAACCTATATTTATGTAGAAAGGAAAGTTACCATTAGGGTGGTTAATATCTGACAGGACAATAAATTATAATCTTTAGTGTTTTCTGTCACATAGAAATTATTTGTATTACTACTGAACAAAAACCTAAGGTAACATGTAATTGACTAAGTCTAGGACTCTTAATCAACAGTAAGCAATGATTTGAACAAAGTACAATAATACATAAGTAACTATGTGTTATCTACATCTACATATATAAAAGCCTAATATGCTAAGTGTCTGACCGTTTGACTGGTAGCTATGACACACACTGACCACCAGGGGGCAGATGCTCAATGCGTAGGCATGGAAACATGGAACAGACTGATGAATCTCAGAGGGAAGGGGGAAGTAGGGAGGGTGGGAAGAGATTAACCAAAGATCTTATATGCATACTAGAGGCCCAGTGCATGGATTTGTGCACTGGTGGGGTCCCTTGGCCTGACCTGTGCCCTCTTGCAATCCCCTAGGGGGATGTCAGAGAGCCAGTTTCGGCCCGATCCCCGCAGGCCAGGCCAAGGGATCCCACGAATCTGTGCACCGGGCCTCTAGTAATTAAATAATCCTTAAGAGGGCCTGTTTACGCAATGTCCTCATGTAGCATTGAGAGGACATGCCACCTATCTCTTTGCTTTACTTCCATGCTTTAAATAACCTTTCTTAACATCCTATATCTGAAAGTTTTTAAATACATATGTTTTAAAACATTAATTTTTAAATTCAGATTATAGCAATCCGATTTCATTTGGAGGTAGCTAATTGAAAGGTCACTGGACAAAATATACACTAGGTTTTAACCAAAGCAGGGAATGCAACATGATTTCACAGGTCTATATGGGAAGGATTAGCAGAGAAACAATGCTTGTCCCATGTGAGGACTTTTTTTAGCTTGAACATGAACTCCTTGAAGACAGACACACTCTGTGGTTAATTCTTGTATCCATTCAATACTGTATTCCTAAGCATCTATTTCAGCATAGTAGGGCATTAAGAGAATTAAGCCACTGAGGGACAGTGACCGAATAAATGAGCAATATGCCGAGGCTGTGAAAACTTCAGTGGTCTAAGAAAATCCTTTGCATTGTGTGTTTGACCAGGTGAACAATTGTGTGCTGGCCTCAGGATACTAGTTAGACCTTCTGCTGAATCTCAGGACATAAGAAACCTTTATCCATCTTATCTGCACACGGGGACATGTCTTCACCCAGAAAGGCTACAGCAGAACCCGGTAGGTTCTCATGCAGCACACACTTTGGGTATGTGGAGACCAGAGGAACTAGAGTAGTACTTCCCAGACTGTAAAAATGCGAGGAAACATGCACATTGGTTAATTGTTAACCTGCGGATTTGTTAACCTGGGATTCTGATTCACTGCGTCTGTGGTGGGGCCTAAGAGTCTGAATTTGTAAAAAGGATAGAGTAGCAAGGATTAGGCTCGTGTTTTATTTTCTCTTTACAAATAACATTTTTTTTCTGATTATAAATATATTTACTGTGGAGAATTAGGGAAGTACAAAGAAGCACAGAACCACAAAGAAGAAAGCTCTTGGTACATAATAGTAATGCAATTTTAATTAGATGCCAGCTCGTTCCCAGCGGACTCATATTGCCATTGTCTAGCCTCAAACAGGAGTAGCTTGCTTTCATTTTTCAACCTCTCTTATCTTTCTTCACTCCTTCTGTTCAGCTCAGCTCCTGTTCCACCTCCTACTCTGCCCTCCTTGTTGTCAGCATTGCTCACTGCAGGTTTCAGCTCATGTTGTGCATGGGGCTGCTCCCTGGCCCTGCAGCTCCAACTCCAGAGTCCTCTGGTCCTGTTTCCACTCTGCAGACCTGGAGGCAGCTTGCTTTCTAATTGTGATATTACTGGTCCATAGCACGTATGTTGTTTTCAGTTTTTTCTTTCTGTTATTGACATTACTATTGACAATTTATTCATATTAATAGATTTTATTCTTTGGTTGAATTCTTTAGGATAAATTCTCAGGATTGAATTTCTTGAGCTAGTGAGTCTGAATTTTGTATTACTTTTGCTATCTATTGCCATATTATTTTCTAGAAGAGGTTAAGCATGTTATCAGCAGGTTACCAGTTATATTGTAACCTTACCACACTTGGTATCACAGCAAGAAGAAATGTTCCTAATTTATTTGTTATGAAATGATGCCTTGAGCTTCCTTAATTTACATTTCTCTGATAACTGTCAATGATTATTTATTTTCTTTTGTGTAACCGGAATTTCAAAAATTGATTTAGAGACAGAGAGGGAGAGAGAGAGGGCGGGAGAGCGAGAGAGGGGGCAGGGAGGGAGGTGGGGAGGGAGGAAGAGAGAGAGAGAGAGAGAGAGAGAGAGAGATCAATTCGTTGTTCCACTTATTTATGTATTCATTGGTTGTTTCTTGTATGTGCCCTGACAGGATTGAACCTGCAACCTTGGCATATTGAAACAGTGCTTTAACCAACTGAGCTACCTGGTCAGGGCTGTGTAATCAGATTTTTAAAAAATTCTGTTTGATCCTTTTTTCTCTTCTTATCTTCTGGTACTACTATGATTTAAATGTTGTCACAATTATGTTGTCCCAGAGGTGCCTTATACTGTTTTCCTTTTTATTTTTTTCTTTATTGATTAAGGTATTACATATGTGTCCTTATCCCCCTGTTGCTCCCTCACCCCCCCACTCATGCCCTCACCCCTCTGGTGTCTATGTCCATTGGTTAGGCTTATATGCATGCTTACAAGTCCTTTGGTTGATCTCTCTGCCTACCTCCACCCTCCCCTACCTTCCCTCTGAGGTTTGACGGTCTGATCAATGATACTCTGACTCTGGATCTGTTTTTGTTCATCAGTTCATGTTGTTCATTATATTCCACAAATGAGTGAAATCATGTGATATTTATTTTTCTCTGACTGGCTTATTTTACTTAGCATAATGCTCTCCAGTTCCATCCATGCTGTTGCAAATGGTAAGAATTCCTTCTATATTTTTACCGCAGCATAGTATTCCATTGTGTAGATATACTAGTGTTTTTTTTTTTTTGGGGGGGTGGCAACACCACTTTATTAGGCTGGGCCAGCCAGGAAGCAAGTGTGAAGTGAGCAGATGTGGGCCCAACATCATGGGGGACAGGGCTGCCCACTCAGGGCTGAGCCATGGAGCGGGTGGTGTAGGTCTGGAAGTGCTTGTGGGCCCGCTGGTGTGTGAGCAGTCTTAGGGACATGGTGTCCACAGCTGCCTCCAGCCCTGGCTGCTGAGTGATCTCTATTGTGTGGTCATTGGCCAGTTGCAGAGAGGCCAGCATGGCGCGGCACACCTCGAAGGCAGGCTGTCCCGCCACCAGCTTTGCAAAGGGACACCACTGTTTGAGCTGACTGAACCTTGAGACCATCTGGTCCCCATACAGGTGGATGTCAAAGGGCACATGCTGCTCCTGCTCCTGGAGCAGGGGCTGGATGCTGTCCTCCCAGTCCCTGACACACTGGCTCAGCTCCGTCTCCTGGACGAACTTCTGAGACGTGGTGATGAAGAGCTCCACGTTCCTCCGGACCAGCTCCTCGTAGCTCAGGGATGCCGGCATGGCCTCTGCTTCCAGGTCTGCAGCGTCCTCAGGCTTTGCCCCGTCAGGCTCTGCGTATTCTTTGGGCTCTAGAAAGTCATCTGCTGCCCCCAGCTCCTCCAGGGAGTCCTCCAGGCAGTCCTCCTCAACAGGCCACAGCCCCTCCTCGGCCCTCGGCAGCCACCGCTTAGCTGCCTCCCTCTGCAGTTTCCGGAGGGTCTCCAGCTGCTCCCTCACATGTTTCCAGTACAGAACCTCCATGTCTGCAAAGGATGGGCCCTTTTTCCAGAGCCTCCTGCTGTCAGCATGGTCAGCATAGGTGGCCAGGTACCACTGGTGGAAGTCCTGCAGCTTGGCGGTCCCCTTCCTCTTGCACTTCTGTCCTGGAACTCTCCTCCACGCAGGCGGGCACGGAGTAGGGTTTACCTTTCTTGAAGGGCTTAGAGTCCAGGGAGCTGAAGGGGTCCAGGCTCTGCCAGGGGTCTGGGGTCTCCTTCAGCTGGGACCCTGGCTCCAGGGCCTCCCGCCTCTCCCTCAACTCAAACCTCCTGGGCTGGGCAGTGCTCTGCTGTGGGCTCCTGGACTCCTGGGGCTCCAGGGGGACCTCAGGGAGCTCTGCCACCCCCTCTGCATCCTCATCCTCATCCCCACCTGTGGACATCGGGCCTTCTGGAGACGTGCCTGACTCCTGGGAGATGTCAGGCACAGGGACCGGACTCCTGATCATAGAGACTTCCATTGGCTGCTCCTCAGCGCATCCAGCTGTCCTGGGCAGCAGTCTTTCTGGGGGACAAGCCCACTGGCTCCAACATGAAGGCTCCTCGGGGGTGAGGGGTGCACGTGTTCATCCTAAAATCCTTCCGACTGGCCAGGACCTCCCCCTGACAGCTGTACAAGGGGTGGCTGTTCTTGTCCATCTCATCCAGGGCTACCAGGGCCATGGGCAGGAGGGGGATGATGGCGACCTCACAGGGGGCCTGCTCATTCCTCAGGTCCACATTAGCACGGGTGTCGGGCAGGTCATCCAGCAACAGGAACTCATCCTCCACCCGCTGGGAGGCCCTGGAGCTGGCGTCCCTGCTGGCCCCGTCTTCCTGCGCCGGGAGCTGCCTGGCCCTCCTCTTGCCAGAGATGAAATTGAGGGCCTGGTAGACCAGTGAGTAGAGGTATTCAACCTTATTACTGTAGACACAGGCGGAGCCCTGGATCAGCAGCGCTGCCTCCACAAAGTTCATTGTGGTTTTGCCTTCGTCAAAAGAAATGCAGATCTGGTCCGGCTCCTCCAGATATTCGCCCAGCTGGGCCGCCACGTCCACCTCCCAGTTCTTGGTGAGGTTGTGGATGGGCTGCAGGAGGTGGGCGAAGCGCACCTCCACGTCCTCCATGCCCGCAGTGGCTGGGGCAGCCCGGGGCCCACGGGGTTGGCTTCGAGGGGGCCAACGCCCTCAGCCCGCCACCACTTCTGGCGCCATTTTTCGGCTCCCGCCCAGGACAGCGAGAACCGCGGGGCACCGGGCGCACACCTATGACGCAGGCGCCTAGGCTTTCTGCCACCTACTCACTGGAAATGCCTCCGCGCGCTCGATTTACCAGTTTTTTAATCCACTCATCTGCTGATGGGCACTTAGGCTGTTTCCAAATCTTAGCTATGGTGAATTGTGCTGCTATGAACATAGGGGTGCATATATCCTTTCTGATTGGTGTTTCTAGTTTCTTGGGATATATTCCTAGAAGTGGAATCACTGGGTCAAATGGGAGTTCTATTTTTAGTTTTTTGAGTAAACTCCATACTGTTCTCCACAGTGGCTGCACCAGTCTGCATTCCCACCAGCTGTGCACCAGGGTTCCTTTTTCTCCACATCCTTGCCAGCACTTGTCGTTTGTTGATGATAGCCATTCTGACAGGTGTGAGATGGTACCGCATTGTTGTTTTGATTTGCATCTCTCAGAGGATTAGTGTCTTTGAGCATATTTTCATATGTCTCTCGGCTTTCCTAATGTCCTCTTTCGAAAAGTACCTATTTAGATCCATTGCCCGGTTTTTGATTGGGTTGTTTATCTTCCTTTTGTTAAGTTGTATGAGTTCTCTGTCAATGTTGGAGATTAAACCCTTATCAGTGATAACATTGGCAAATATGTTCTCCCATGCAGTGGGCTTTCTTGTTGTTTTGTTGATGGTTTCTTTTGCTGATCAGAAGCTTTTTATTTTGATGTAGTTCTGTTTGTTTATTTTTTCCTTAGTTTCCATTGCCCTTGGAGCTGTATCAGTGAAGATACTGCTTTGGCATATGTCTGAGATTTTGCTGCCTTTGGATTCCTCTAATATTTTTATGGTTTCCTGTCTTATGTTAAGTCCATTATCCATTTTGAGTTTATTTTTGTGTATGGTGTAAGTTGGTGATCTAGTTTCATTTTTGCATATATCTGTCCAATTTTCCCAACACCAGTTATTGAAGAGACTATCTTGACTCCATTGTATGTTCTTGCCTCCTCTGTCAAATATTAATTGAGCACAGTGGTTTGGGTCGATTTCTGGGTTCTCTCTTCTATTCCATTTGTCTATATGTCTGTTCTTGTGCCAGTACCAGGCAGTTTTGAGAACAGTGGCTTTGTAATACAGCTTGATATCTGGTATTGAGATCCCTTCTGCTTTGTTCTTTTTTCTCAAGATTGCTGAAGCTATTTGGGGTCTTTTTTTTTATTCCAGATGAATTTTTGGAGAGTTTGTTCTTGGTCTGTGAAATATGCCATTGGTATTTTAATGGGGAGTGCATTGAATCTATAGATTGCTTTGGGTAATATGGACATTTTAATGATGTTGATTCTACCAAATCCATGAACATGGTATGTTCTTCCATCTGTTTATGTCTTCCTCTATCTCCTTTTTCATTGTCCTGTAGTTTTCTGGGTACAGGTCTTTTACCTTCTTAGTTATGTTTATTCCTAGGTATCTTAATTTTTTTGGTGGGATGGTAAATGGGATTGTTTTTTAAACCTCTCTTTCTATAAGTTCACTATTGGTGTATAAAAATACCATGGATTTCTTGGCCTTAATTTTGCATCTTGCTGCATTGTGAAATTATTAAGTCTAATAATATTTTGATGGAGTCTTTAGGGTTTTCTGTGTACAGTATCTTGTCATCTGCAAATACTGACAGTTTTACTTCTTCTTTTTCAATTTGGAGACCTTTTATTTTTTCTTCTTGTCTAATTTCTATGGCTAGCACTTCCAGAACTATGTTGAACAGGAGTGGTGAAGGTGGGCATCCCCGTCTCATTCCTGTTCTTAGGTAGAATGGTTTTAGTTTTGCCCATTGAGTATGATGCTGGCTGTAGATTTGTCATATAAGGCTTTTGTTATGTTGAGGTATAATCCCTCTATTCCATTTTGCTGAGGGTTTTTATCAAGAAAGGGTGTTGCATTTTGTCAAATGCTTTTTCTGCATCAATTGATATGACCATGTGATTTTTATCTCTCAATTTGTTTATGTGACGTGTCACGTTTATTGGTTTGCAGATATTGTACCATCCTTGCATCCCTGGGATAAATCCTACTTGGTCATGGTGTATGATCTTTCTGATTTACTGCCGGATCAGATTTGCTAGAATCTTGTTGAGGATTTTGGCATCTATGTTCCTGAGGGATATTGGCCTGTAATTCTCTTTCATTGTGTTGTTTTTATCTGGTTTTGGTTTTAGGGTAATGCTGGCTTCATAGAATGAGCTTGGAAGTGTTCCTTCCTCTTGAATTTTTTAGGATAATTCTGAGGAGGATAGGTTTTAGTTCTTCCTTGAAACTCCCCTGGGAAGCCGTCTGGCCCCAGGCTTTTGTTTGCTGGAAGCTTTTTGATGACTGCTTTAATTTCCTCCATAGTTGTTGGCCTATTGAGATTTTTAGATTTTTCCTGATTGAGTTTTGGAAGGTTGTATTTTCCTAGGAATCTATCCATTTCCTCTAAGTTGTATACTTTGTTGGAATAGAGTTGTTCATAGTATTTTATAACAATCCTTTGTATTTCTGTCTGATCTGTTGTTATTTCGCCTCTTTCATTTTTGATTTTGTTTATTTGGGGTCCTCTTTCTTTGCTTCTTAGTGAGCCTGGCTAGAGGTTCATCAATCTTGTTTATCCTTTTAAAGAACCAGCTTTTGGTTTCATTGATCTTTTGTATTGTTTTTTCGGTCTCTGTATGTCATTTATTTCTGCTCTGATCTTTATTATCTCCTTCCTTGTGCTCACTCTGGGCTTTCCTTGTTGCTCTCTTTCTAATTCTTTGAGTTATACAGTTAGATGATTTATTACCATTTTTTTCTTATTTTTTTGAGGTAGGCCTGTATAGCTATAAACTTCCCTCTCAGGACTGCTTTCACTGTGTCCCATAGATTTTGGGTTGTTGTGTTTTCATTGTCATTTGTTTCCAGGATGTTTTTAATTTCTTCTTTGATGTCTTTGGTAACCCAATCATTGTTTAATAGCATGCTATTCAGCTTCCAAGTGTTTGAATTTTTTGGATTGTTTAGTTTATTTCTAATATGCCATTTTGGTCTGACAAGATGCTTGATATGATTTCAGTCTTCCTAAATTTGGAGAGACTATGCCTGTGACCCAATATGTGGTCTATCTTTGAAAATGTCCCCTGTGGACTTGAGAAGAATGTATATTCCATGGCTTGGGGGTGAATTGTTATGAAGATGTCAATTAAGTCCATCTGCTCTAGTTTGTCATTTAGGATTGCTATTTCTTTGCTGATTTTTTGTCCTCAGGATTCATCCAGTGATTTCAGTGGGGTATTAAAGTCTCTTACTGTGATTGTATTGTTGTCAATTTCTCCCTTGATATCTTACAGGAGGTTTTTTTTAATGTATTTGGGTGCTCCTGCATTGGGTCCATATATAATTACCAGGGTTATATCCTCTTGTTATATTGATCCCTTAGTATTATTAAGTGGCCTTCATTATCTCTTGTTATGGCCTTCACTTTGAGGTGTATTTTGTCAGATATAAATATTGCTACCCCAGCTTTTTTTCATTTCTATTTGCCTGAAATATATTTTTTCATCCCTTCACTTTCAGTCTGTGAGACTCCCTTGTTCTGAGGGAGGTGGGTCTCTTGTAGACAGCATATATATGGGTCATTTTTTTTTATCCATTCAGCCACTCGATGTCTTTTGATTGGAGCATTTAGTTAGTTTATGTTTATAGTTATTATTGATAGGTACCTGTTTGTAGCCATTTTTATTATTTGTGCCTGTGTTTCTTCTTCCCTTTTTATTTATTTATTTATTTTTTGACACCAGTCCCTTTAGCATTTCTTGCATTGCTGGCTTGGTAGTGATCAAGTCCCTTAGCCTATTTTTTTATCTGTGACGCTCCTTATTTCCCCTTCAATTTTGAATGATAGCCTTGCTTGATAGAGTATTCTTGGATTTGGTCCCTTTCTTTGCATCACTTTGTAAATTTCCTTCCATTCCTTTCTAGCCTGATGTATTTCTGTTGAAAAATCATTTGATAATCTAATGGGAGATCCCTTGTATGTAACTTTCTGTCTCTCTCTTGCAGCCTTTAAGATTCTCTCTTTGTCCTGAACATTTGCCATCGTAACTATGATGTGTCTTGGTGTGGATCTTTTCCAGTTCATCTTGTTTGGGACTCTCTGTGCTTGTGTGAATTTTTTCTTCCCCACATCAGGGCAGTTTTCTGACATTATTTCTTCGAATAGGTTTTCTAACCCTTGTTCCTCTTCCTGTTATTCTGGCACCCCTATTAATTGTATGTTGCTTTGTTTCATATTGTCCCAAAGCTCCCTTAGGCTCTCCTCCTGTCTTTTAATTTTTTTCTCCAATTGCAGTTCAGCTTGGGTGTGTTTTGCTTCCCTGTTTTCTAATTCGCTAATTTGGTCCTCCACTTCTCCTAGTCTACTGTTGACACTTTACATGTTTTTTTTTTATTGCACTTATATCACTCTTTATTTCTTCTTGATTCTTACATAAGTTGTTGATTTTTTCATCCATCTGGTTTATGACCTGTATGACCCTTATTCTGAATTCTTTTTCTGACATATTGCATGCCTCTGTTTCACTTAGCTGCTTTTCTGGCAATTTCTCCTTTTCTTTCCTTTGGGGTTTTCTTTGTCTCCCAATTTTTGTTCTCACTGAAGGTTCTAGGTGTCGAGTCATGCAGGGGCTGCTCCTCGGGCAGTCGTGGCAGCGACTGCTCCTCAGTTGGTGGTGGCTCCTCTGGTGGATGCTATTTCCAGCAGTGGTGGCTCCTCTGGCTGGCAGGGGTAGGCTGCTTACATGGCTGCTGCTCCTCGGATAGTGGCGGGCTGCTCATGGGGCTGCTGCTCCTCGGATGGGGGCGGGCTGCTCCTCCTCATATGGGGCGGGC